GGCCCCTGCCTACCTCTCCACTTCATCTCTCACTCATCTTCTCACTCTGACTCCAGCTTGAAAAGCCACTGTCTCACCCTTACCTTTACAAAGGTGTTTCCTTCTGCAAGAAGCTTAAAGAAGCAGGTTGCTTAACTTTGCCTTCAGGGAGCATTAGAAGATGTGTGTGTGTGTGCAAATAAGCACTCATTTGCATTAAAGTGAATATTACAGAAATTTCCAGTTCAGTGTGTCCAAAATGGTCAGATACTGGCCATTTTATATGGTACTATTTTATGACCCAAATCATAACTCTTCATCTTGTTTTAAGGAAAGATCTGATGGTCGGTAGAAGTTGTGTAAATTAACATCACTAAAATACTTCTGTAATTCTACAGGACTCCCAATAAAACGCTGTTAAACACCCCCCGCAAAAAGATGGGATGTGTGTGTGTGATTTTAAACTGTTCTTACCCTTGCCTTCTTTGCAGAATACTCTGGATTTTCTTTTTGGATGTTAAGGCATTCTTACACTCCATCTCCTACCTCCTTGTTTACATGGCTACTAGGCAGCTAAAATAACAAGAGAGCCAGCAATATACCTTATTTTATTTCCCTGTCTCTTCTTCCTTCCTTCCCTCCTTCTCTTGTTCTGTTTGCTGCTAGCTGGCTGGCCATCACTTCCATCAGCCTGCTGTCTCCTTGTCATTCATCTCCCTGCAGCCACCTGCCCAGCCCAGCCCTCACTGCCAAATCTCCATGGTTGAACTGGGAGAATACAAATTACTCGATCTGCTGTAATACCATCCCTGCTGTGTACTGCTTTGCTAACTTAGATGAGTCGTCTGGTCCAGGCATACTCAGTGCTTCCTGTTTATAAGGGGAGTCAGTTACAAAGTGCTGATGCAACCCAACATGTCCCACGGCCTCATCTCACCATGTCCCCCTCTGACCAGCCCACACTCCACCCTCCCTCCTCCACCCTTGGACCACTTCTGTCTTCTTTTTCTAACCTACCACCACCTCAAAGCATTTGTGCATAGTAGGCGGACACAGTAAAGTGCTTCCAAACAAAGCTAAGACATATTTCTCCTACACTGTATTTGAACATAATTGAAGCTCCTCAGTCAGGGCTTCCTTTTACCCTCAAGGCAAAATGGGTTTGCTTTTGTAGTTTATTTTGGAAGTGTTTGCTTGCTTACCAATCTGCTTCTCCTGCCCTCCCCATCTCTTGAAAATAACCTCTTCCCCCTTTTCTCTCCAGTAACAAACCTACCTGTTCCCCATACCACCCCCAGTCGTACACTCATCAGAATGCATTCTCAACTCTTTCGAGGGTAGAAATCAAGAATGGCTCAAAGACTAATCTGCTAGCTCTCCACTTCCTAATCAGGCCTCAGGGTAAATTCTGCTCAAACTGCTTTCCTCCCTCAGGACATCTCCCACCTCCAACACTTCCACCCCTCCCTTCATTGCTTAATTTCCCATCCTTCTTTCAAGTCTCAACACAAGCCCCTCTTCCCCTGGGAGGCATGTGTTTAGGTTCCTTGGGGAGGAGATTCAGGAAGGTCGGAGTCAGGGAGATTATGAGGGGGTGCTGTTGGGATTAACACCTGTGGAAAGGAAGGAAAGAAAGCAGACCAGGCAAAGGAGAACTTGGGCTGTAATGAAATCTCAACAAAGACCACAGCCAACTCTCGAAGAGCTCTGAAGCCGAGGTGGCCTTGCAGGGTTGCCTCTACTAGTTGTGGTGAGAGGTAGAGCCTTAATAGTTCTGCATCAGCCAGTCTCTGGATGCCACCTGCCTCTGGAAAGGGGCATGGTCCCGGGTGAGAGGGCTACAGCACTCTGAGCAGCTAGGGGAATAAATCCTTCACTCCTTCAGAGGGGTGTGGGCAGAATGCACAGCATTCACTAGTATTCCCAAATTTCAGCACCAATCAGAATTATCCAGAGGACTTATTAAAACACAGATTGCTTGGCCCAAATCCCAGAGTCTTTGATTTAGTAGATCTAGGGTAGGGCTTGAAAATCTGCATTTCTAAGAAGTTTCCAGGTGATGCTGGTGATGCTAAGCTGGGGACCACACTTTGAGGATCACGACACAACACACTGTAACCACATAAAGCCATGACCCAGATAACTTCTGACCATTCACGCTGCTCTTTCCACTTGCTGCCTTGTGCTATGTTATTTCTGCATGTCATCTTTTTGAGTCTCATCCTTTTGGGAACACCAAGTTCTACAGACCATATTATTGTTTATGTTTATTACGGACTGAATATGCCCCCACCCCAAAAAAATTCATACATCAAAGCCTTAAGTCCCAACGTGATGGCATTTAGAAGTGGAGCCCTTTGGGAGGTAATTAGGTTTAGACAAGGTCAAAGTGGGGGACACTCATGATGGAATTAGTGCCCTTATACGTAGAGGAGTTTCTCTCTCTCTGTCTCCCTCTCTTCCTCTCTCCCTCTTCCTCCCCCTCTATCTCTCTATCCACATCTGTCCCTCTCCACTAGCACACACCACAGAAAGGCCATGTGAACACACAGATGGAAGACGACTGTCCATTAAGCCAGGAAGAGAGCCTCAGCAGGCACTGACCAGCGGGCACCCTGATCTGGGGCTTCCCGGCCTCCGGAACTGTGAGACATCCCTGTTGTTTAAGCCACCCAGTCTGTGGTGTTTTGTTAGAGCAGCCTGAGCTGACTAAGATAATGTTCTTCCTGAAAGTAAAGGGAAAGCCACTGGCAGAGTGT